TATACAATACATGCACAATATATTCACTATATAATACACAATTCCTATATACAAAGAAATGCTGGTGAACACAAAAGACATTGACCATTGTCAGAAAAACTTAAAACAGGATTCAGTAACTAACAACTGCTATTATAATTTGCTGGGAGGTTGATACTCATCAAAACATAAATCTGTTTGCAAGAGTATTGATTAGGCATTTTACATTTCACCTTGGCTTTGCACTGTTGCCCTCAGAATCCATGACTTTTGACAAGTCAGGCTGAGGGCTTGGGCTTATCCTTTTGTTGGTTGTCAGAAGCTTCCTTTGCTGTCACTCATTGGAATGAGGACTTCTTCTACTCAGAAGGTTGCCTCTAAGCTTCAGGAATAACGTTTGCTTGTCTACTCAGGAAAGAAAATGCAAAGCATAAAAGATAGGCAGGGACCCAGTTGTGTTCATGCTCCATGTGAAAGGAGCTGAGGGATTGGGGGTGGGGGAGAAGAAGAGCACTGCTTCCCCCTCTACCTGCTCATAGGGAATTTAGTGATAGAAAGTTCCTACATAGAAAAATCAAAGCAAAAGAGGGAACCATAAACCATCCCTTCTTTATAGTTGATACAGAGCCATGTACACATTCCGGTTTCACAAGGCAAAGGAAGAACCCAGGGACCACCTAGGATTTTTCACATCATACCAAAACAAGTCCTTTCAGTTCTGAGTCACCACTTGGCTGGAAACTACCAGGGAGTTCTTCATCTCTGACACACCCAAATGCTGAGCATGAGGCTGGCCAGGATCAGGAAGAGAAACTCTAAGCCAAGTTCCATGGGATGGCCCTCACTGAAGTCAAAAGACTTGGTTGAAATCCTGCTTTTGATATGTTCTAACTGTATTTTTTAATTCAATTTTGAACTCAGTTTTTTTCATTTGTAAAATGTGGATTATAACTCTCATCTAGAAAAACAAAGTAGCTCTGAGGTACCACCTCACATCTATCAGATTGGCTAATAATGACAGAAAAGGAAAATGACAAATGTTGGAGGGGATGTTCGAAAACTGGGACACTAAAGCACCTTGTTGATGGAGTTGTGAACTTACCCAACTATTCTGGAGAGCAATTTGGGACTACAGTTATCCCTTCTACATTGTGAGAGGGAGATTAGGGGAGCCCCAGCAATCTGGAAAATCTAAGTAAAAATTTTTGGTCCTCCCTTTATACCAAAGAAGAAGTCTGAATTTTTTTCTATTTCTTTTATGGGGTGTTTACAGTATTAAAAGATAAAATATGTTGATATTATATAACACTACACATACATTTTATGCATTTCTGAGTTTCTAAACTTTTTCTGTGTCATCTGCTGGCCTTCACATATCAATATATCTACAATTTCTACAAAACTCCAAAAAAATTCCCATTTAGTTTCTTATGCTAACCGATATTTTGAAATCACCATGGGGAAAGTCATGATGTGGATGGGATAACTATGCCCAAAGGGCTATAAAACCATGCATACCTTTTGACCCAGTAATTGCACTACTAGATTTGTATCCCAAAAATATTTTTTAAAAAGGGGGGGAAAGAGCTTATATGTACAAAAATATTTATAGCAGCTCTTTTCGTGGTGGCAAAGAATTAGAAATTGAAGGGATGCCCATCAATTGGGGTATGGCCAAACAAGTTGTGGTATATAATTGTGATGGCATACTTTTGTGCTATGAGAAATGATGAGGAGGATGCTTTCAGAAAAACCTGAACTGATGTGAAGTGAAATGAGCAGAACCAGAACATTATGCACAGGCACAACAATATTGTACAATACTCAAATGTGAATGACTTAGTTCTTCTCAGCAATACAAAGATCCAAGACAATTCCACAGGACTTATGATGAAAAATGCTATCCACTTCCAGAGAAAGAACTGATAGAGACTGAAGGAAGATCAAAGAACATGATTTTTACTTTATTTTTTGTATGTTTTTGTCTGTTTTCTTTCAAAACATGACTAATATGGAATTATGTTTTGTATGACTGCACATCTATAACCTAAATTGCCTGCCATCTCAATGAAGGGGGAGAGGAAGAAGAGAGAGAATTTGGAACTCAAAATTTTTTAAATGAAGTGTTACAAACTGTTTTTACATATAATTGGAAAAAATTTAAAAAAAAATGTTAAAAAGAAGAAAAACAAAATAGCATAGTGGAGAGCCTTGGAGGCAGGAGCTAGTGAAGCCGTTACTATGTGTCGAGCACTAGGGATGCAAAAACAAAAGCAAGACAGTCTCTGCCCTCCAGGAGTTTATATTCTTTTAGGCGGGAACAAGGAAGTGCGGCAGTGGTGAAGTAGATAGAGTGCAGGGCCTGAAATAAGAAGAATCATCTTCCTGAGCTCAAATCCAGCCTCAGATGTTTACTAGTTGTGGGATCCCAGGTAAACCCTGTTTGCCTCAGTTTTTCATCTGTAAAATGAGCTGGAGAAGGAAATGGCAAACTATCCCAGTATCTTTGTCAAGAAAAGGATGTGACTGAACAACAAAAACCAGGAAAAATTATTTTGGTTTGGAAAGGCACAGAGATGATACCATTTGGAAGCAATGGTAGAATTGATTTGCTATTCCCAGAGCAAGGGATGAATATCTGGGGAGAATTGTAATGGGCAGGGATATGTGGGAGATAACCAGGGTAAATGGTCAAATGGGATGTAATATGTGGTCTGGAATAGGGGGCAACCTAGATATAGAGCAGGACTTCTTTAACTTTTTCCACTAGAGACCTCTTTGCACCCAAGAAATTTTTACACAACCCCAGCTATCTAGGTATATAAAATAGGTATACAGAAATCTTTTACTGTTGCCAAATTTTCACCACCCCCACATTCAGTTAATTGACCCCATATGGGGTAATGACCCACATTTTAAGAAGTGCTGAGGGCCACAAGCATTTGCATTGGCTTATTCACCAATCAGGACAACATAGCTCCAAGGTTATGGTTCCCAAACTGAGTAGGCTCAGTCATCTGGAGCATAGTCTCCAGAGGTCTGGTGGGTCTAGTAGTCTGGAGGGAGTTGGTACAAGGCAGATGGCAAGGAGTTGGCTAGGATAGATGGTCAGATAGGATGTAAAACCTGGTCTAGAACAAAGTCCAATCTCTGGCTATATATGACCTGGGCAAGTAATTTAATCTCTCAGCATTCTAGGCAGCTCTCTAAGAGCATACAGTTCCACTTTGGTATGGAATGTTTCCTTGTTGAAAATTCCCTATTATGCCAGTGAAATCACAAAGAAAGACAAAGAAAGAAGAAGTAAAAAACATCCTCGAACTACCTCCTTCACAAGAATTACTGTGAGCAAAGGGCTTAAAATGCTATACATTTATATGTATATATATATATATGCCATATGAATATAATAAATAAACAAGTAAAATGCTATACATTTTATATATATGCTATACAAATATAATAAATAAATAAATAATGAACAAATAAAGTACTATACAAAATATAAGTCTTTAAAATGTTACACAGGGGCAGCTAGGTGGCACAGTGGATAAGCTCCGGCCTTGGAGTCAGGAGGACCTGAGTTCAAATACAGCCTCAGACACATGACACTTACTAGCTCTGTGAGTCTGGGCAAGTCACTTAACCCCAACTGCCTCACCAAAAAGGCAAATGAAATAAAATAAAATAAAATGCTATACAAAAGTGAGTTATCATTGTTTTAAAAATAACCAAAATTTAAAACATTTCCCCCCAGTATTTCACTGAGATAGAAGTCCTACAAAAAATAATAAGTATGCAATGGTGGTTTTTGTTTTCCCTTTCAGTCTTCACATTTTTAGAAAGACCGGATAAGTTAAAGAAATGACCCCCCAAAAGTCCTAATCTAATAAAGGGTAAGGAGAGACACGTGGGACCAGGAAGGGAGGGAGGAGAGGAGATCATTTTAGGGAAATCATTGTTGTTGCTCAGTCATGTCTGAATCTTCCTGACCCCTTTAGGGGTTTTCTTAGCAAAGATAATGGAGTGGTTTGCCATTTTCTTTGCCGGTGGATTAAGGCAAAGAACAGTCAAGTGACTTGCCCAGGGTCACACAGCTAGTGAGTATCTGAGATCATATTTGAACTCAAATGTTCCTGACTCCAGGCCCAGTGCTCTATCCACTGCACCACCTAACTGTCCAGAGAAATGGTGAGACAGTTATTCCCATAGAGAGATCCAGATATATTCTGCGGCCTAGAAAAAGGGGGAGTTGCTAAAGGGGTAGAGGTGAGAAGGTTAGTAAAAGAGGTTCCTGAGATCAGTACAAGACCGCTAGCTAGGGTAAGAAAGAAGAGAAGAAGGACAGATGAGGTCAAAATGGAACAGACCTCTCTGAGCTTAAGGCCATCTGCCCTGTCAATCTCATCCCACACAACTGTCCCCACCCCCAGCTCCTAAGTCCTGAGGCTAGTTTCCCCCACAGTCCTTTTGCCGGGAGCCCTGTGGGCCTCTGCCACGAGAATGGGAACAGAGTCAGAGCTTGATGTGTTCCAGGACCAACAACGTTTCCTGTCCTTGGCAGAGATAAACAAAGCCCAGAAGCACCAAACGTGGCTGTTTAGCAGTAAAAGACTCAGCTCCAGCCACCATCGGGTTAATGGGTCTGGAATAACTAGAAGAAGAGAGTGAGGGTCGAGTATCCAAACCCCCCCAGTCCAAGCCTGTGGGCTGGGCTATTCTGGGTCTATGAATACATATGCCTATTTATACCACCGGGGTGGCCAGCAGCCTTCTGCAGCAGAGAATTACGCAGAGCTGCTACTGCTGCTGCTGCCGCTACTGCTGCTACCAAGCTGGATTGACTGCAGTGTCAGGACAGCAGCCGGAGACTACAAGAGGAACCTGGTGACAACTGAGAGTCTCCTGAAACAGCCCAACCCTGTTGGGATTTAGAGGCCCTTAGACCCCAGCAAGATGAAACAGATTGGCTAAGTACCACCCCCCCCAGGAGGTGAGGCTGGAGTCCTCAGGTTGGAGGGATGGGGAGCACCATGGATTCCCCAGGGGGTCCATACCTGAACCTGGGAGCTGTCACGTCCCCTGTAGGCACCACCCGCCTGCTACAGCTGGCATTTGGCTGTACCACCTTCAGCCTCGTGGCACACCGGGGTGGCTTCGACGCTGCCTACGGCACCTTCTGCATGTCCGCCTGGTGTTTCTGCTTTGCCCTCACTGGTCTGGTGGTGGCCTTCGAGTTCACCCGACTCCACGGCTGCCTCCGTCTCTCCTGGGGCAACTTCACCGCAGCCTTCGCCATGCTGGCCACCCTCCTGTCAGCCACGGCCGCCATTGTCTACCCTCTCTATTTTACCAGGTTTGAGTGCCCCCCAGAGCCAGAAGGCTGCACTGCCCGTGACTTCCGCCTGGCCGCCAGTGTCTTTGCGGCTTTACTCTTTGTAACCTATGCTACTGAAGTGGTCCTGACTCGGGCAAGGCCAGGCCAGGTCACCAGCTACATGGCAACGGTGTCAGGCCTGCTGAAAATCGTCCAGGCCTTTGTGGCCTGCATCATCTTTGGGGCCCTGGTTCACGACAGCCGCTATGGGCGCTTTGTGGCCACTCAGTGGTGTGTGGCTGTGTACAGCATATGCTTCATATGCACCGTGGTGGTGGTAGGCATGAGTGTGACCGGCCGGGCTGGAACTCTGGGCTTTCCCTTTGACCGGATCGTAGTTGTGTACACATTTCTAGCGGTGCTGCTTTACCTAAGTGCAGCTGTGGTCTGGCCTGTCTTCTGCTTTGACCCCAAGTACGGGACTCCCTCAAGGCCCTCAGGTTGTCCTCAAGGAAGTTGTCCTTGGGATAGCCAGCTGGTGGTGGCCATCTTCACTTATGTCAACTTTCTCTTCTATGTTGCTGACCTGGCCTACTCCCAGAGGATCCGCTTTGTGCCCAGTCTGTAGGCCCAAGAGAGCTAATGCCACCCTCCACCCATCCACCCACCCACAGACACATACACACATCCTCTGTGCTGGGGTTGGCCCCTCCTCTCTCTGACTTGAGGGCTTCTGGATTTATCTGAGGGAAAGAAAGGATGTGTGGGGAGGGGAAAGCAGTGGTGGAATGTCTGGGATGGAGCTGCTGAGCGGGAAGACTGAGGGAGGGAGGGCAACAGGCTTAGACAGAGAAGATTTAGGAGACTAACATTGGAAAGGGACAAAGAATGCATTAGCCCATGTGAGGGAGTTTAGTAACCTAGGGGGAGTGGTGTGATTCTAAATGGGGAGAAAAGAGTATTATTTTGTCTATCCAGAACTTACATAGCTGGAACAGGACAATTTACCTAAAACCCAATTTGTCTCAAAATTATTTGCCTTATGGTATGAGCTCAGTAGATCAGTGTATACATGGCTTGAAAGCTCCTTGAAGTCAGGGACTGTTTGATTTTATTTGTCATATCCTCAGAATTAGCATAGCACACATAGAAAGTCTCAAATGTCTGTTGAGCTACGTTGGTTTTCATTATGTTAATATCATCACACTATCAGTGTTGTTATTCTTGTTATTTTAAAATTTGTTTCTGGAGAATTGCTTTTTAGCAGGTGATTGGTCTGGACTTCCCTTCTGGGAGACTCCTTAATCTAATCCCCTCATTACACAGGTAAGGAAATGGAAAGTGAGAGAATTTGAATGATTTGTTCAATGTTACACTGCTGATTAGTGGCAAAGCTCTAACTAGGACTCCTGACATCTGGTCCAGCATTCCTTCCATTTTTGTTTGCTATTTCTTGGCTCTTCGCTGAGCTACCAAGAAGTAAAGGTTGGATCTGGAAAGCAGCCAGGAGGAGGTTGGGGATGGAGTTGTGCACCATTTCTTACAGAATGAGAACCCAGTTTAGGATACCCTGGACCCAGGTCCACTACTGCCTGGGAAGAACACTTTGGGGGCACGGAATGCTGTGGACATGATGCATTGCAAGAAACTAAAATACTCCGGGACCTTTCCATGTCATGAAGGCCAGTGTTTGGGGTAAAAAAGACTGGACTATTTTGGGTAACATAGTTTCCCCCTTAACCTCAGTTCCTGGGCTTCTGGATTCCCATCAGAAACAGCAAGTTTACATTCAATTAGACCAGTCCCTTCCAAGAGGCCACTACTAAAGAATCCAGGATGACCTCATACCACAGAAAAGAGCTGACCACATCATCCTCTGACTCTTGGCTTCTTGACTTGACCTCCATCACTCTTCAGTCTATGGCTCCAGAGGACTTTGGCTGAGCTGCTGCTAAGTACCTCTGAGTCTTTCAGGAAGTACCTCAGAATGGAAATAAAGTAGAAGAAGTTGATTTGTACACTGGTTCTGCCTGCATCATTTCATTGAAGCGTCCCTTCCTCTGCCAAGCATATTATAGACTCAGTCACAGAATATTAGAGCTAAAAGAGACTTCACAGATAACTTACTCAAATTGCTTCATTTTATGAATAAAGCCTAGAGAAGGGAAGAGACTTACCCAAGGACGTACAATTAACAAATCTCAGCTTCCTTGTATTCCCTAGATATGCCCTCTTCATGCCTTGTTCCTTGGGTGAAAGGCCTGAGGGCTCCCCATGTTGCCTTTACATTCTCCCCAGGAAAAAATTCACAAAATTTTGGGCTACAGTAGAGGTGTTAGTCTCTTCAGATTGAAGGGCTTTTGCGTAGAATCTGCCACCAAGGAACGAAGGAATGGAAAGGGGAATTTTGTCTTCCTCACTGACCACTCTACTTTGGCAAGACCTAGGGCCTCTGGCTAAGCTGTCTCTGAGCCTGCATAAGGAAGATTTATCCCTTCATTTAGTGAGTTGGTCCAGCCTCCCCAGTCTCCACTTCCATGAAAGTTCATTCTCCAGTTCTATCATTATCATCATCAATAAACATGTATTAAGTGCTTGCTGTATATCAGGCTAAGAACGAGGCATACAAAAAAAAAAAAAGCAAAAACAGGGTTCCTGACCTTGAGGGGCCCACATGCTAATGAGGTTTATCTCTGAGAGTCAGGCCTCTTTATCTCTCTACTGGGTGGCGAGCTGCCTGGTTTCTATAACAAGCTATTTCTCATAGCTCTTATAGCTGTTTCTGGATAGGCCAGGCAGAGTCCGCAACAGAGTAGGCGTGGAATGTGGCCCCAGTTCAGGTAGTTTTCCCAGCAACTGCTTTGAAACCCTGCCAGTACAGTGTCATATCTGTTCTATTTTCACAGCTTCAACTATCACCCTGTGCAAATGAATCACAAATTTCTATCTCTGGCCTCCTAGGTGCCAGTCCCATATCTCAAACTGCCTCATACTCAGTTCCCTGCTTCCCTCCCTTCTTTCCTTCCTTCCTTCTTTCTTTCCTCCCTCCCTCTCTCCCTTCCTTCCTTCTTTTCTCCCTTCCTTCCTTTCCTCCCTCCCTCTCTCCCTTCCTTCCTTCCTTCCTTTCTTTCCCACCTTGCATCCCCTATCCACAAATACACCTGGTTTCCATTCCAAAATGTCTTATAAAAGTTGATTTCTTTATAGGTGCAACAGCTCTTTGCATCACCTTCTTCCCTCGCAGACAGAGAAAACTATCAGGATCCTTGCTAAGAATTCTGGGGCTTGTAGTGTTTGCTGCTTTTCCTAGTCTTAGAAAAGTGGCAGAAATACTAAGCAATTTAGAATTTAGAATGTGGTATTATGCCATCCCACAGGAAGCTTGAACAAAATGGAGAGAGAGAAGACAGAAGACAGGAAGACAGAGACAGGGACAGAGTGTTTAGCAGTAGCACCAGCTGTGGTAGTGACCATTGACACCTGGGGAGGTGGGACTGTAAGACTGAAGTGATGATTAGAAAGATGGAGATTGCCTCTCGTTGCCCTTTGCGGCTTGAGCGTGTCTGATTATGAGGAAATACTTCTGTAGGGGAAAATAGAGGAAGTGAGCTATTCCTCTGCAAAGATCAGAGAAAGGCCAACCAGTCTTCTCCCTCTCCAACCTCCCCACTCCTCCTGTTTATTCATTACTGGATGATTATGTGTTTCTCTCCACCCCTTATATTTCCTTAAGTGGGTTTGTTCTGACTTTTTGTCATGCTTACTTTGATCACAAATAGAGAGTACAAGCAGGGAAGCTTCTGGTTGGTTTGGTTTCACAGAATTCAAAGTTACCTTTCCATCTTAACAGCAGCAGCTACTTGATACCTGGCAAGTTGTCTTTCTCATTTTATTAGTAATTCTGTAAACTTTCTAGAGGCAAAGCTTTAAAACTGAATCTGGGGTCATTGCTTCTAGACTATTGATTTTGTTGTAAGCTGAGAGAAGAACGTAGAGGCCCAGGGGCAGCTAGGTGGTACAGTGGATAGAACACCAGTCCTGAAGTCAGGAGGACCTGAGTTCAAATCTGGCCTCGGATCAAACACTTGACACTTACTAGCTGTGTGACCCCGGGCAAGTCACTTAACCCCAATTGCCTTAACAAAAAAAAAAAAGAATGCAGAGGCCCGGAGGAAAAGACCTTGCTCTGACCTAGCCCCACTGGGTGCATAGAAGCACAGTCCGAGGAGGATTCTATCTTTTCCCTTTCCTGGGAGGGAGGAAACGAGGAGCAAGCATAGCAAACCAGCTTTGTTCTCCATTATGACACTTGCTAGTGAATTAGGCAAAAGGTCTACAGTCAACTGCTGGAGCTATGAGAATGGATGGGTTAGTTTCATTATATGTGATTTGAGGGCCATGTGTTCTCTAAAGTTCCTTCTATCTTAAAAGTCTATGATTTTATATATGATTTATATATGTATGTATCCTCAGTGCCTAAAAGAAAGTAAATCCTGAAAATTTGGTAAGTACATGTTGAATGAAAGGTGAGAAAATGGAGGCAAAATATGATCAAGAATATTAGAGTTGGAAAAGACTTTTAAATCATAGGCTCATATAGCTGGAAGGGACCTCAATAGCTATTCAGTTCACTTCTGTCATTTTGTAGATCAGAAAACTGAGGCCAATAAGGAGAAGTGATTTGGATAAGGTCACACACTCCTAAGCATCAAAGATGGTGTTTGAACCCAAATCCTCTGACTACAGAATCAATGTCCTTTCACCTGGACCATCTTGTTCAACACCCTCATTTTACTTGTGAGGAAACCTCCTTCGGAAAAATTAGATTATAAAATAAAGAGAAATAAGATGGTAGCTTGTGGGTATAGTAGGATCAAGTGAAAGGTTACACTACTCCAGTGGACAAGTCAACTGTCGCAGACAAGAACAGTTCATTTATAGAGCATTTTAAAGTTTTTCAGATGTGTTACATACATTATTTCATTGGGTCAAACTAAGGAGTTTGAATTTTATTAAATGGGCGATGGGGAACCACTCAAAGTTTTTGACCAGGGAAGTGACATAAGATCTATGCAGTAGAAAGATATATGGCTGTGCAGCTAGGTGGCTCATTGAAGAGAGTGCCAGCCCTGGAGTGAGGAAGACATGAGTTCAAATACAGTCTCAGATGCTTATTAGCTGTGTGACCCTGGGCAAGTCGCTTAACTCTGTTTGCCTTAGTTATTTCATATGTAAAATGAGCTGGAGAAAGAAATGGCAAACCACTCTTTGCCAGGAAAACTCCAAATGGGTCACAAAGAGTTGGGCATGATTGAAACATAACTCAACAGCAACAGTTAGAAAGATTGATTTGCCAGTGGTTCCATGGCTGGATTCAAGAGAGGAGAGATTGAAGAGAGGCCCACCAGTTAGAAGGCAATTGTAATAGTTTGAGAAAGAGGTGATAAGGTGGTGTCAGTAGAGCAGGAAAAGTGAGCTATTCTGGAGGCAGTGGGGCAAGGAAGAAAAAATACTGGATTTGAAGTCAGAAGATCTGAATTCAAATTCTAGTCCTGCCATTTTACTATCCGTGTGAACTTGACCAACCAAAAGTCCAGGAGACCCATATTGAATCATATCTACCTCCTG